ATTCTAAACTGGTTCTGATGCTGACTCAAGTATGACCTGCACCAACACTTCAAATTTTTCCTGGTGTCATCAGAAAAGGACACTTTAACTTTTTTCATTGATACTCTCCTTCAAAAAACAACAATCACCATCCACGTTTAGCTCTCCTGGAGTCATGAGACCACTGTCACCAAAGCTGTGGGCAGACACTCTCAATTCTAGGTTTGCCTCCCAAAAAGCAAAACCAAAAGGCAACCCAGGTCTTAGGGGATGATTATTTTCTTTCCAGAACATTTCCTTTAACCAGTTAACTGCCATGATATGTTGAATTTAATTAAAAAAGGTCCGCGGCTTGCGTCTATAGACGCTTATGGCGTACAGGTGGTTGAAATGATATCCAAGCCTCCCACCACCTTACATCCCTAAGAATAGCGTGCCTTCACAAATGCTCCAGGCGGTAACACAAGCCTTGCTATCTTGTGTGCCCGGTAAACACGAATTCACCTCTGAAAGCCCCGCTAGGAGATCACCTTCTCCAGGAAGCCTGCCCTGGCACCCTGTCCTCAAAAGGGCAATGACGTCTTTCTGTCCCTCTTGCTATTCCTTGAACGTCTCTGTCCTGCTGCCCTCATCACATGATGTTACCATTGTCTGACTCCAAGTCTGTTTTATTAGCCTGTGACCTCCTTTAGCTGAGCCAAGAACACAGTGGGGATTCAATGCAAGTTAGTTAAACTGAGCTACTCAACAAGAAAGGGCATTTCTCAGTAATCCACGCATTTAAAGAAATGAATGCAGTACTAATAATTATTAAATGAAGTAATATTTTAAAGGTAACTGGCACTGAATTCAGTTACTTTACCTGTGAGATCCTTTTCTCGAAATTGTACAATGGGTAGAACCATTGTGTCTGCCAACTGTTTAGCCAGCTCTGTATGGAGAACGTTAAGCTAAAAGAAAGAGAAAACCTATTGAAGAAAATTATATCCACTATTTTACTGAAACTATCTTATTTTACCAAGGAATCGCGATGAACACTTCCGAGTGGTTAGAGAGCTCAGTTATACTTCTTTGGCAAATAAACACCCTCTTAAAGCAGTAAATGATGTTGGCCTAGAGCAGTGGTCGGCAAACTGCAACTCGTGAGCCACATGCGGCTCTTTGGCCCCTTGAGTGTGGCTCTTCCACAAAATACCGACTTCTGCGCATGGGCCACGAAGTTTCAATTGCACTATACGTGCGTCCCCGCACGCGGTATTTTGTGGAAGTGCTACACTCAGGGGCCAAAGAGCCCATGTGGCTCGCGAGCCGCAGTTTGCCGACCAGGGGCCTAGAGGTATTAAACGCTAAATGTGAGGTTCTAACTGACCAGTTAAGTTTGCTAAAGGAGTCTGAGCCATAGTTTTCGTTTGCTTACTGTGCGAACTCTGGCTGGGTGTTCTCAGTCTAAGCCACACCCCCTGGGGAGCAAGAGCACTGCGATGTGCCTGCAGTGAACACAGCTCCCTGGGTGGAGCGCTCAGCACAAGTCGCAGCCTCGCCAGGCCACTGTGAGCTCTCACTCGCAGAGGCTGCAGTCACACTTGAAAGGCAGGCCTGCTGGGAGCCTTCTAACCCTGAAACCACAGCCAGCTGCGGGCGTGGGCCTGGGAATATGCTCCGGCAAAGAAAGCTCCCTGCTGAAACAACTCAGCCAGGCCCAGGCCTCTGCTCTTTAGAAAAAAACCTTTCTAAGAATGAGATGACTGTATCCAAGCGTGACCCTCCACACCAGACAGTTCTAACAGCTCTTGGTTCTTCCTCTCTTTCTCCCCTTCTATCTAAGGCCTTGCTCAATCCCGTCGCTGTCAGTGGTCAAGGAGAAGTAAGTGAACCCCATCAGCACCACCATTTGGAGCATTTTCTGTAGGGCAGCTTTCCACGCTTTAGTTCTCAGTCTCACCTGCTCTGTGAGTTAGGTATTATTTATTATCCCTGTTTTACAGATAGGCAAGTAAGTGGCATGACTGGGATTTAATCCCAGGCTACTGGGATCCAAACGCCATGCTCTTCCCATTCCACTGTCTGAGATAGAGTTACTTTTTCATGCAAACAAAGCTGCCAAAAACTTCAAATGTTTTGGCAGCTGGACATCAGCAATTAGAAACAAACACAGTGGAAGGGATTCTTCCCTGGGCCCAGACTTGCAGAGGTTACTGAGGATGCCTCAGGATTCCTGCTTGGTGAACAGGGGAATCACCCAGCAGTCACTTTGTGGAGTAAACATGTGGCAGTTTCTTTCAGTGATATCCGAGTCTCCTTCTACTCAGAGGTCTCCCCAGTCCTCTGGTCCTTCAGGGCTATTCCTGCAGAGGCTGCTTTGATAAACTTAAAGCCTTGCCCAAGGTCGACCCTTCGCCAGGCAAGGAGCTACAGGCCGAGCTGGTAATGTTCTCCCCATCTGCCAATCAAGCTGAGGCATGGCAGCTCTGTCCAGCTGGAAATACACCGAGACAGTCACGCCTCTAAGTTAGCCATCAGGATAGCATGTGTTAATGATTTTTCCTGAATAACTTCAATAAGAAATGGACTGTTTTTTTACTAAGTTAACTGAGTGAAAGTCAACAAGTGCACCTACTATGTGCCTGTCTCTGGGCTCAACATCTGATAGACATCATTTCATTTAATCTTTGTAACATCGTAATTAAGTGGGCTTTCCCACAGATGAAGAACCAAAACTCGGGGAGATAGGTGGCATTCCAATGCTTATGCACTTCAGGAACGGCAAATTTCCTAGCTACTCATTTCTTCCTACTTTCTTCTTAAGGTTCAAAGGGTGCGTGTCACCCACTTTCTGCCCTGGGGCTTTGGAGAGGTATGGGACAACCATTTCTAAACACAGTGTCTTCTCTGAGGAGAGTGGACAGAGTGTAGATGACCTCTTGGCACTTCAGCAGTGTCAGAGAAAATGGGGACCCATCATCTTCCCTGCACGGCTGCTGTGAGGATAAAGCAGGAACGTGAATAAAAACACTCAGAGCAGAGGGCCTGACACCCACTCAGCAATGGAATCCGTAATGACCACTTCCCATCTCAGATGAACTCCAAGAAAGTGACTAAGAAACCTTGCTTTTGGGGGAATCACCAATGCCAAAATCTCTGCATGCCACGACACGGAGATCGGCTTCCAGGACATTCTTCGCCACTGTCTTCCAGTCAAGAAAACAAATGGCATCAGTGGGTGTAGTTTTTGCTTATTTCCCTGGATTATTATTCACTGTTAATTAATAAACATTCTTCTCCTCACTTTCCAAAAAAATTACTTTCTGCTCCTCTCTAATTATATTATCCATGAATTTTAACACACATTTTAAAGAAAGTCACAGTAGTGGGGTAGAGGATGAAGCTAAAAAAGAACCGGTCAGCTTGCTCTCTGGTGCATCCTCAGTGCCCAGAACAGCACCTGCTAAACAGCAGGTGGTCAATCACGGTGGTCGAATTAACTTGACTGATTTGCTGAATGAATGAAAATGCTATCGGTACAATTTTACATGTTAGTTTCTCATTTTATAATCTGAAGATAGTGCTACTTCGTATTAATGATTCAACAGTTCAGTGGCATCTGCATAGTCTCTTTTTTTGCTTATTCTTTGTAACCATTTTCTATGACAAGTTTGCAAACTCCTTGAAACATGAAACAGTTTTAAATCTACCTAATTTTGCAGAGGATTCTGCCCAGCACTAGTAGCACCTGAGCTCTTTTTTTTTTTTTTATAATTAGGGTTTATGCAGTTTTCCTATAATAATACCTGTTTCCACATACCTTCCAAGAGGATTAGAAGATACAGCTACCAGAACATTTGTATGAAACACTTTTCAGTGAGTGGAATCCTGCTCCCCCAAAAAGAAATGTTCACCCCGAACATGTGAATATTTGAGAAAATGGTCTTTGCAGATGTAACAAAGGGTCCTGAAATGAGATCATCCTGGGTTATCCAGGTGGGCCCTAAATCCAGGACAAGTGTCCTTACGAGAAGAGAGGACACAGAAAAGAGAACAAACATGGGGGGTGAGGTGGAATCCGGGAAGAAGGCCACGTGAAGGCAGGGTGAGGTGGGAGTGATGCTGCCACAAGCCAAGAACCATTTGGAACCACCAGGAGCCAGAAGAGGAAGGAAGGATCTCCCCACCCCCTAGAGCAGTGGTTCTCAACCTTGGCTGCACATTAGAATCACCTGGGAATCTTTTTAAAATCCTGATTTCTGGGCCTCATCCTCCGGAAATTCTGTTCCTTTGTTACTAATGTTGTGGCCCCACCCTATAACAAAGAAACAGAATTTCCGGAGGATGAGGCCCAGAAATCAGGATTTTAAAAAGATTTCCAGGTGATTCTAATGTGCAGCCAAGGTTGAGAACCACTGCACTAGAGTCTTCGGAGGGAGCATGGCCCTGCCAACACCTCGATTTCACACTTCTGGCTTCCAGAACTGCGAGAAAATAAATGTCTATTGTTTTAAGCCACATACTTGTAATTTATTACAGCAGTTCTGAGAGGCTAATGCAGACTCCTTAGGAAACTAAATTCTTGGAAATCTTTCTTTTGGTTTATTGCTCATGCATATCAAAGCCCTTCCCCTCAAACTGGAAACATACGATAGTATACAATCTCTTTTATGAAACAAACCTTGGAATATCAACAAGTTGAGATAACATCTCAGATATTTAAGTAGGTATCTAAATATGGAAAGTGGACCAAAGTAAAAGCCGAAAGTTCAAAAATGAATAAAACAATTTCTTTTTTTGCCATGTTGCTAACTTACCTCATCCACCACTTTGGAGAAGTAGTGAAGTGTAGAAATTACTTCTTCATCGCCTTTGCCAAGAGCAAAATTCTAAGACCAAAGAATAAGAGAGCCAGGTATTGTGGAATGCTTGGGAATTCAGCACCACGGCATCACCCCACCACACATACCCTCCACACCAACTTCCCTTCTTCTCCCAAGAGCAGGGCACGCCAGAGCGTCTAGCACACAACTGCCCCGCCCAAACTATTTCTTCGTTGGCCATCTCCCTCTGTTCAGACATCATGGTATCTGCATTTATTTCCTGGAATTGTTAGTGTCAATTCATTTGTAGTCTCTCAGGGACCATGAACCCTCCCCCAAGGGCAGCTGATTACTTCTGTAGGCTAGTGAGAAGGCATCATACAGACTCTGATAATCACCAGTGAGAATTTATCAGGGGAAAGGAAAAGGCAAGAACAAGTGGAAATGGATTATGGAAAAAAAGAGAGGGAAAGGGGGAAGGAAGATAGAAGGTCTCTTAAAAAAGCCTTTGGAGAATTTCTTCTAAAGAACTCCAGTTAAGAAAGTCCTGAGCACAGCATCACATGCCATATAAGTGTCACGTTACCTGTTTCTCATATGCCAGGAGCTGCTTAGAAAGCTGTTGAGTGGCCAGGCACATTTCATTCTGCGGAGAAGAGAAAAGCAAGTAAGACTTGTCCAATGTGTGTACAGTCACTGAAAAATGGCACCTCAGAGAATTCCTTTAAAATATGTGTGTAAAATTATTATTTTGCTCAGAAATTATTTGTAGAATAAAAGGTTAAAGCTTGTGCCCCACCCCCAACCATTTACAAAGTATTGCTCCTGGTTACTGAGTCAATAAACAAATGTAAGGGACAATTATAACAGGGTCAACAAAGACATGGTCCCTGTGCTCCCACAGGGCTTACTGGGAAAGCAGACATCAAAAAAATAGTTGTAAGCATAATGAGAACCGCAAAGGGAATACTGGATGCACAAGGGGTTCTGACAGGAATTGTGGGAGGGTCTGTAAGGAAGAGATGCTTTAAGCAGACCTTGACGAAAGACTGGCAGTGAGCCATGGGGACAGCTTTCCAGGAGGGACTCTCCTGGGGGAAAAGTGCACAGCCTGTTGGAAGAGCTATACAGGGAGAGGAGTGGAGTAAGGGGTACAGGGCATGGAGGCAGGACGAGACTGGCAGGGCAGGCAGAGCCAGGGCACGCAGGACGCGGTGGCCCAGATTCAGCCTTCATTCTAGGTGCAATGGGGATTTCAGCAGCACCAGGACATGATCCGATCCTACCCAACAGCACTGGGTCGGTAAAGATGGACTGTAACACAGAAGCACGGCTGCAAAGCCGGGGAGGCCCATTTTGTGCCAATTTTCACTGTCCATTTTCCTCTTCTCTTACTCATCCCTCTAATCTCTGGCTCCACAGCAGTTTTCTGTAACTATCCCCACCACCAATGCATCCAGCCTGGAAAACGTGTCTTATGTTTCCCAAGCTCGGTTAAAGCTTCTCTTCAAATTCACGGCTTATTCCTAACAGAAGGGCAGAGCCACCAAGTAGGGAGAAGAGGGGCTGGCCTGCCTTGGCCTTGGTTCTCCTGAGTTTGCTATTCCATTAGGGGCAAGGCCTCAGTTCTCCAGAGACTTTTCTATTTTTCACGGTCCTCCTTTGCAAGGGTCCCTCTTTACAGGGACCCTCTGGACCCTCTTTACAGCCAGCTGGCTAAGCCTTTCCCTGAATTCTTTCAGTTGCTCCAAGGAACAGGCATTAATGGACCCTGAAATGTGGTCTTCTCCCCTTTCCCCCAAAATAAAGCCAAGCAAACATAATCAAAGTTCCTGGCTTTGGCATCCTACTGGGGTGCTACCCCTTTCAGAACCAGCCAGAGCTGGCAGCCAGGAGGAAGGCCAGGGACCGGTCCACAAGCGCTGTGTCAGCATCCAGACAGGGATGTGCAGCAGTTCCCAGCACATGGCAGGCACTCAACAAAGGTTTGGTGAATGAATGAACAAGTTTAGAAGATTCATCTGAATTCTAAGTTTAAAACAATAGCAGGAAATCATGGTGTCAGGGAGGAAAATACTTCCTACTCCTACAAGGAAATGTCACAAATGACTGGACAAGGCTGAAGCAACAGCCAGAAGACAGCCCATCTTCAGCAGTGTTGTTTTGAAGATCAGAGTGCAGGGGAACAAGGGTCTTAGCCCAGCCACTGGGCTAATTCTTAGCCACATCAGAGACTCTCTTACGCCTCTGAGTTAGTAGCAATGGGTTTAAAATGGATTTGTTCAAGCTACCTTGGCATCTGCCTGAGGCAGCACCATGTAGACTACACTTCATAGACCCACAGAATCACCCTAACAGCAGCAGCTAACATTTACAATTAATTTACAATTAATTCATGCCAGATACCACACTGAGCGCATTCCAGGCCTTAGCTCATTTAATTCTCACAACCCTGTAAGGCAGGTTCTAATTATTAACTCAGTTTTACAGGTGAAGAAACAGGCACAGAGAGGTTAAGCCACGTGTCCAAGGCCACACAGCCAGTCAGCAGCTGGGCTGGGATATGAATCCAAGTTTGCCTGATGCTTAAACAGTACTCTCTAAAATCCCAAGTCCTGCTAAGAGATAGTAGAGAAGATCTCTGCTTTAGGCTAGAGTTGACAAACTTTTCCTGCAAAGGGACAGACAGTAATTATTTTTGGCTTGTGAGATACATGGTCTTTGTCACAACTGCTCAACTCTGCGGTTGTCGCATGAAAGCAGCCAAACCAACAAAATACATGAATGAGTGTAACTTCATTCCAAAAACACTCTACTTACCAAAATAAAAAATAGTAATAAAAATAGGACAGGATATTGCTGATCCTGCTTTAGACAGTAAATGTCTCAGAAGGCCCACCTCTCTGCCATGGCTCCCTCAGCAGGCTCTCCTTTAAGCTACACTATTTCAGATCCAAGAATCATTTTCTATTCTTCTACCTCATTCTTCTTTAATGTTTTTATTTTGGCTAAGTCTAAAATATCACTCCCTCATATCTGTATCCTTTAGAGACTGGCCAACAGAGATGATGCCACCCTCCCTGCCTTCAAAACAAGCAAGGGCTACAGGCTGCTTGAATTCTTCTCTTCTTTCGAGCTTTCTGGTAAGCGCTGCAAATGTAATGGAAAAAGCGGCCAGGCAGCTGCCAGCATCAGACTGCACCCAGGCTACAGGAGAGCACGTGTGTGCTGCTCACACGCCCGCCGGAGCGTAGGGAAGCAGGGCACAGCACACAACAGCTGCTCTCCAACACACTGTGTCCAGCGGACTCTGCCACGTCTCCCCTAGAAATCCCGTATGAAGACGCTGTATATTTCATGTGTGTGACTTCAGGCAGCAAGATTCTGTTCTATCAGCACAATTTCACTGGGAACAAGCCAGAAGCACAAAATGGTCCGTCACGCATCCTGAAAAGAAACAAGCCTTCCCTGTACAGAGCACCTTACAAGACCAGCTGTAACCTGACTCACCTTAATGTACTGTAGACAAAGGTTTATGAAATGTTTACCATCATCAGCTAAGTAACCCACACCCTGTCAGGTAAGCCCACACAATTATCTCTGCAGCAAGACCTGCAAAACGAGCTTGAGTAAAGAGTAAATATTGGTCATCATCATAATAAAGAAAGCTGCTAACATTTACTGAGTTCTTCCTAGCACGTGGCATTGCTGTTAAATGTTTTTCATACATGATCACATTTAATCCTAACAATGCATCTACGAGGTAGAGAGGGACTATCAGAAAGGACAGCTTTCTCAAATCACACAACTTGTAACTGGCCAGGCAGAGACTTAAGTCAGACCTGGCAGACTCAAAACCCAAAGCCCAAGTTCTTAACACCATGCTATTCTAACCCAAACCCCACACGACAGCTAGTTAGTCCTCAGTGGGCAGGCCCCGTAGGGCCTGTGATAGGAACATAGATCCCACACTGTCCTAGCTGTGGTCCAGCAAAAGAGGTGGCCTCTCAGATCCTGAATGGGTTTGAGAGTCAGGCTCTTTCGATGCTCTGCAACAGCAATCTGCTTACTACCTGTGCTCCTTGCTGCCTCCTAAGAATCCTTTAAAAAGGTGACCCGATGAGGGGTCTCCTATGTTAAACAGAACTTCCCAAGGCTGTCGCCAAGGCAGGAAGACCGGCGACTGGCAAACCTGAAAGGAAAACCGAGCTTTTGGCAAAGGAGTGTTTACCTTATGGTGGCACAGAGCGCTTCCCAACTGCAAATCTCACCTGAAAGCCCCCAAGCCTCTGCGGACGGACGCGCCACCCATGCCGAGTGTGAGGGAGAGGATGGGAGCAGGGGCAGAGGGAACCCACTACAGTCAGCCACAGTGGAGGCATCTGCTTTGACCTATTCCAAGTGTGTGGCCATAATGTTGCCTACAGCCAAGGGGCTGACAGTCCTATGTGCCAGTGCGTACCCCAGAGCTGGGGTCAGGGCTCGCTCTAGCTCAGGAGACCTCGGGGTGGGATGCACATGGGAGGAGGGGGAGTGCCGCAGGAACGGAGGCAGAAAGCTGAGTTTGGGGCAGGCCTCGATTCTGGAGGCAAAAGGGAAGCCCTGAGGCAATTGGGAAGAGAATGACACGATCGGACATGAGCAGGAGAAAAATCACGAGTGGCTGTGGCAGAAGGAAACACTGAAGGGGACCATGGCACGAGGGTCAGGAGACCACTTGAAGAAGTCAAGCGAGAGATACAAATGTCTGAGCCCAAACCAGAAAGAGGAGAAGGTGGCAGAGATCCGCGGGGTATTCCTGAGGCAAAACAGCAGCATGTTCAAAGTGGGGAAGGAGGTGGGAGTCAAAGAAAACGGGGCTCCAGTCTGGATGATGGATGGATGATAGCGCCCTAGCTAAGGACCCGAGGAGGGGACGTTCTGAATTCAGTCCTTCATTCGACACCTGTGTGTCAAACATTCAGGGGGGAGGCATGGTGCTGGGCATGGGAGACAGAGAATCTGCTCCCAGGGAGCTCAGTCCGCAGAAGGACAAGGAAACCCCACATGCTATGTTGTAAGTGGTCTGACCAACAAGTACACAGGCACCTGGGCACACAGGTGCATTCTGGCCAGGAAGGGAGAAAAGTTAGAAAGGAAAGGTGTCAGGCACATCTCGGACTTGAGGTCAGTCTTAAAAGCCAGGAAGACCATTTGGCAGGGGAGGGGGTGGATGGGGGTGTCTGGCCGCAGGAATGGCATAGAAAGAAGAGCCAAGGAGTGGCTGATGCTCAGTTCACGAACCTCTGCTGCGCTGTCACAGGGAGCCACAGAGGCATCTGAAGCCAGGGAGGGAAGGGAGGTTCGGATGCAATAAATGTAGCTGTAGGGGGGTGCAGGGATTGAAGGGGACACCTCTCTGAAGACAGGAAGACCATTTAGGGGAATGCTGCAATAGCTCGGGTAAGAATATGCATCCATTCAGACACTACAGAGGTTTTTAACTTATTTAGCCAATAGTTGGAAACATAGCAGATCTTTCTAAGTAACCTGTCTCTGCTTTGTTAATACCTGAGAAATGCGTACAGCTTCGAAAAACGTATAACGGAGTGCTCCATTCCCACCATGTGCAAAGGCACACCTGACAGTGAAAAGATCAGATGTGACTCCAGGCCTGCTATAAAATGCTGAAGATAGACTGTCACTTCATTCTAGCACTTAAGCCAAATAAAATTTAAAATCTCTCCCAACCAGCCACAATCAGCAAAACTGCGCACATAACTTTCCTCTAGTTTGCCTTGCCCTTCCTCCTCCTAAACTATATCAGAAAACAGCAATTTACTTCGTGGTCTGATTTAAAATATCTTTTATGAACATTTATCATTCATCGGAAGCATAAACCTGGTTTTTAAAATATAATGAAAAACTACATCTTGCTAATAAGTACCTCTGTTTTTAAAAATAAAACTGTATCAATCTAATTCAACAGATCTAGGTATAAAGTATTTAAGGAACAATGTTAAGTAAACCAAGAAAACATAACTTAGTGAAAAAAGTTGAATGAAAACATTGGGAAATAATACTACATATATATAAATAAACCCATCAAAGAGGAGTCAGGAAAGTTTTCTTTTTTTAAAATTAAAAACAAAACAAAACACCTAAGTCTTTAAACCTGAGAAACCAATGACCTGACACAGCTGATGTGAAAGCTTGGTGCTGTTGTTGATTCTGGAAGCACTAACCAGCTGTTCCCGCTAGCCTCTGCTGCAGGAAATGCCGAGGCAGGAGGAAGGGTTTCTGGCTGGGAGGAGAACCCATGTGATGGTCATGTGGTGTGAATTAAAAGCCAGTCACAGCCTTTTGGAATGCAAAACCTACTTAGCTTTGGCAAAACGTAGTTTTCTGGCTCAAAAGACAAAACGCTTAAGAGAGCGCTTGAACATCTCCAAGCAAATGACTCTGACAGATATGGAAAGGCAGAGGGAGTGCAGCACACAGTCCCTTAAGTCTTGGTGTTCTTACACCTTAAACAGAAAACAAATCATTTAACGACAATATTTAAATTGCTGAACAGCAAACAAGTTAAGATATAAGCCCAGTAAAAAAAATTTTCTATTTTCTTCAATTCTGAATAATTAGGAAAAAATACGAAGACATACAATATAAATAGGGCTTAAAAAAATTGACAAAGTATGTGCCCAGTTTCTTTCTGCATGTCATACCAAAGAAGCAAGCAACATTACAAATCAACACAATTCGTTTGGTCAAAGAATTAGTTCCAATTAGTAAGCTATAGTTGCCTTATACATTTTAGCTTGCAAATCTACATCTCTGGCCTGACCTCTGGGTGATTGATCCATGTAAAAGTATTCAATAAACCTCAACTCTCACCATCATCCTCCTTTTAGGTGCCCAACACAATTCCGCTGGGTCCCCTTCTCTCCTAGAACTAACACTCTGAAGTAATTGTTCTGTCTCCCAGACCAATTGTAAGCTCCTAATGGCAAGGACTGAGTCCACATATGACATGAGTAAATGACTAATAAAACAACGATGATAATAATAAATGATTATATAGCATATTAAGAGCTATCTATCTATACTAATAAAAGAGAAAAATGGTAATTGGCGTACGACGCTACCCTTTTCATTGGCTAATCAGGGCTATATGCAAATTAACTGCCAAGTAAGATGGCAGTTAACTGCCACAAAGATGGTGGTTAATTTGCATATGTAGGCACAATGCAGGGAGGCGAAAGGGAAAGCAGGAA